CATCTATTCCTCTATCTTTTATTTGTTATCATCTTGTGCTATAGTTTTAGTGTGACATTTTATATCTACCTCGCACCTACCATTAAAAAGATTATCTCTCTAACTTTGACCTATTTATAACAATTTGCTACTTTCCTTTTTGTCTCCTACATAACATTTACATGGTGGAAATGTATGACTAATTCCATGGCACATGGGCAATATACAAAACACAAATGGCTTGCTAATTTAACTAATTTAACTAATTAAACGCATTAAATGCTAATATTTTTTTTTTTTTAAGAAAACACGCATTAAATGCTAATTTAACTAATTGGTTTATACCAAATAAAGCTCCAAGCACACACGTTTGACTAAACATTAAAGAAAATAATAGGAACTTTTTCATCTCACCAAGCTGCCCAAGACACAAAACCATGTAATTTCTTTCATTTAAGTGCAAAACATCACAAGAAAACGTAGTCCTCGGTTTAAAATAAACAGCACAATTTATGCTCATCAAGATTCATTTGAGATAAAAAAAAATGGTGTATAAGTTCATAAGTTCATATCATATTTCAGAAAATCTCTTTTTAAATGCATTAAATACTTAATTTGAAGTGACACATCATAAGTGGAAAATGTGAAAGATTGTTGTACAAAAAGGTGGATATGTCCAACTTCTAAGTTATATTAAAACATAACGATGTTCTATATGCATTCAAAATCTCCCGAGAAAATAGTACAGTTTTGTCTTTGGGCCAATTTAATCTCTGAGCCCACCAAGGTCTGAAATTGAAGTTGATCCGGCCCGCTCTGTTTGCAACCGCTTCCAAACGCTCCCTCCTGATTCTTGTAAGAAAAGAGGACTCTAGGGTTTCGAATTCCTTCAAACCAAAACACAATGGGTAGGAAGAAACCCAAGGAGCCAGAAAGCGACGCCGTTTCAGCAGCTCAGTCCGACGTCTTCAAGACCCTGTTCGGCGACGCCGTCAGCCACGACGCCGCCACTGCCATCTTCTCTGACAGCAACCCCTTCAGGAGGAAGAACAGGGAACCCGACCAAGGGTTTGTTGCCCCTTCGGCTGAACCTGCTGAAAGCATCAATTATGTCGAGCCTGAAAACAATGATGATGACGGTGACGGTGACGTGAAGAAGCGGAAGAGGAGGAGCAAAGAGAAAGCGGCTTCCGGTTCGCTGAACGAAGAAGCTGCAGAGGGTCCTGTGGAGTTGGAGGGCAAAAAAAGGAAGAAAAAGAAGCTGCCGGAAACTCCCGATTCTGAAAACCCTAATTTGGGTTCTGAGTTTGAAGGGGTGTCAAGACGGGAAAGTGATGAAGCCTCGGAGACGGGGAATGCCCCGGCGAAGAAGAAGGATGGGAAGAAGAGGAAGAGGGATGAAGTTGAGAGGGAATATGAGGTGAAGAAGTATGGGGTGAAGGAGGGCGAGGAGGATGGGGACAAGGAGGAAAAGAGGACTGTTGGGGAGAAGAGGAAGACAGTGGATAACCCAGCTGATATGTTGGTTTCGACCGAAGGTTTTGATGACGAGAGCAAGCTATTGAGGACTGTTTTTGTTGGAAATTTGCCCTTGAAGGTCAAGAAGAAGGCTTTGATGAAGGAGTTCACTAAGTTTGGAGAGGTAGAGTCAGTGAGGATTCGCTCCGTGCCAATCTTGGATGTGAGTACTTTGTGTTCGAATGTTTGGAGATTAAATATATTGTTTTGTTACTGATTTATACATTTGTTTTATTTTTGGTCAGACGAAAAGACCCAGAAAGGGAGCAATACTCACGAAGCAAATCCACGATAAAGCTGACAGGTAATCATTTCTCACTCACATGATCAGTTGGTTTTAGGAACTGCTTGTTGTATTTATAAACGTTTTGAAGCACGTAAGGTCCTGTTTATAATTTACCATCAGATTTGGATAGGGGTATAGGCTTCTAGCTGTTCTATTGTGATCTATCATAGCTCAAGTAAAATCTTACCGTGGAAGATTGACTCCCTTATTCGCCAATACATTTAGGTTGTCAGGGATTTACATTTCGTGTGACTTTAAGTTGTTAAAACATGTAAAATGATATAAATAATAGACTTTTGATGCTTGTTGGCAAGAAAATTTCAAATTTAAAAAATTTATGATTGCCTTTGAAATAATAGATTTTGTGTTGCAGTGTTAATGCCTACGTTGTTTTCAAAATGGAGGAATCGGCACAGACTTCCTTGTCCCATAACATGGCTGTGGTATGTTATTCTCATGAAGTTGGCTGATTTATATCATTCTGCATAAGCTGTTTCTTACCATAAAGCTGAAGTGTTAATCTCGTGCCTTGACTTTTTAATTATTATGCATGCTGATGTAGGTTGAAGGACATCATATCCGCGTTGACAGGGCATGCCCACCTCGTAAGAAGCTGAAGGGGGAGAGTGCTACTGTTTATGATCACACGAGAACTGTTTTTGTGGGTAACCTTCCATTTGATGTGAAGGTGAGTTGCTCTGCTAGGAGTTATTATTATTATTATTATTATTATTTCTCTTTGTAACTTTTCCCTGCACAATTTGACAATTTCTATTTATATTAGTTGCAATATGTGGATAACAATTTATCTTCTTTTGCAGGATGAAGAAGTTTATCAGTTGTTTTGTGGTATCAACAATCTTGGTTCCAGTGTTGAAGCTATTCGCATAATCAGGGATCCTAACTATGGTATCGGAAAGGGCATTGCTTATGTTTTGTTTAGAACAAGGGTATGTTATTTTCACCAACGCTTATCAAACCCCATTTACAATCGATATTTCTTTGTAACAATGTCATGCCTTTTGAACTCAGATATGTGGTTGTTTAATTGATTATTCACACTTTCTTGGATGTTGTGCTGTGCCCGTTTAGTGTGAGTCCTCATGGGGATGTTGATTTGACACCCAGTTGTCTCCTGGGACATATGTGAAACATTTTTCCTTCAACCCTAAAATTATGAATTTGTTACCATGGCAGCTGGCCACTAAGTATACGATGATGTTAATTAAGCAAAAGAATGACTCTGATCAATTCTTGAACTATGCATATTGGCTGCCGCCGCCGTTATCTTTATTTGCTTTGTCTTAAAGTTGTACTCAGGAGAGAAATATGGAATTGTTGCTGCAGTAGTTTCTGTGACTGTATGATTGTATTTTATTCGGAACATTCTTGTAGCATAAATATTTTACTTCAAAACTAAGGTTGAATGTGTGGTATTGAATACGTGCATAGTTGACTAGACTAAATAAATTATATTGTTTGCCGTATGGAGTGCCATAGTCGTGTAAACTCTGTAGCTGAATTTGTATATGCTGTAGTTTCTCAAGGTACTCCTGTTTCATTGTATTATCTTATCCAGTATCTTCTGTTGTCTGTCTATTTGGGCATCCAGGAAGCTGCAAATTTGGTTGTTAAGAGGCGAAACTTGAAGCTTGGGGATCGGGAGCTCAGGCTGTCTCATGCAAAACCAGAGTCAACCCCAACGAAGAGAAAGAACCCCTCATCTGCACCGGAAGCTAAGTCTTCAGCCAAAAAGCGAGCTGTGGACTCAAGGAGTCCAGATTTTAACAAGTCGAGTTCAAAAGCATCTTACCAGGGCCTGCGTGCTGGTAAGCCTGGTGTCCAAAAGAAGTTTAATGCAAAAGGCAGTAGACCGGATAAGTTTGAATCAAGATTCCCTAGTGGAGTGAAGCCGAAAGAGCGTAAAGATAAAAGACCTTCTGTTGCTGCGAGAAAGGCTAAAGAAGCACTGAAAGGTGGTGCTGCATCAAAACAAACAGGTACAAAGCGTAAGCTGGATAGCCGGAGTCCAGATAGCTCCCAGCAGAAAAAGAAATTCAAGAAATTTAGGTAGGAATACACAAAATGCGAGAATACGAAATGTGTACCCTTTCCAAATTTGTATTTCTTGTACAAGTAAGAGATTGTCAAATTGATTATATTGTTTTACTTAGTTATTCTGATTTTATTTTCCTTGAACTGGTTCCCAATCTATTGATAGATACATGGATTAGAATGGGGTTTATCCGTGATAGTAAAGAGATAGGAAGAGAGGAGTGGTTAAGAGCACCAAACAATCCGTTCTCCGTAAGCATCTTCAACACCGACTTGTAGTTTAAGTGGTCAAGAGCATTTGAAGTCTTAGGTTTGATTTTGCCCTCTCCACCGTCACTTGTATACTTGAAAAGGCTTATTTTTAGCCGCGCTCTTGTACTCTACAATCTGCACAAAGCCACTTCGACCCTTGCACTATTTTCAGTCTCACGTCATTCGCTCAACTCCTCATTTCTATCTGATATTACCCCATTTCTTCAATTGGGTCCAGTCCAGAGAAACGTTAGCTTCTTTAACTATGGGGTTCTTTGGTCTTTTTAGAAGTGAAAATATGGATCTGTTAAAGAAATTATAAGTCTTAATGCAAGTGACCCTTCATCACAGTGGTGGAGAGAAATATTGTCCTTGCATCATGACGTGAGTTTAGACCCGCTAATGGCTAATGTAACAATATATATCGTTTGACAAAAAAACCCAAAAAGTAAGTCTTAATGACTTTATTGGGTTATTGGGATATCGAATCATTTAGAGATGCCAATGCGGTAATTTGGTTTTGGATTTTTGTTTGTCGTGATAAGGTGATTTTTGCGGTTTCAGATGTTGCAAATAGAACAAACCAACGAGCCCCCGCACGCCACCGCCGCCGCCACCACGACTACGAATCGTCTCCAAGACAATCACCATAAGACTTGCATCAAACGTTTCAATTTGTACTTCCAGGCTTCCATTCTAATGCATCCTCGTTATCAGAAAAAGTAATATTCATTCCCAAAGATGACTTGTTTGAGCTCCCAAGCCTAAGCCTGCAATTCTAAACTTCCATGCCAAGCAAATTCTAGATGCTTAAATACCTTACCAACTTCAAACTTTTGGGAGATTAGACGGCATATGTGCTTTGTTACAAAGCACCTGGCCTTCCCTTGGACATACCAGACAGCCTGCATCAGCTAACACTATGATGAAATTGTTAACCTGACGAAAGACAGTTACGTGAGTTTCATCTTGACGTTTTAGTCGTCAAGTTTATGAAAAACAATACTAAGATCATCTTGGGACTTGGATAACTCAACAAGAGCTGAGATAAGTCAGAAGTTCACTAGAGACTGCCTTTACATTTTTCTTGACAATGAATGAGATACATACCCTATAAAATTAGAGACTTTCTTACAACTAAAATCGAAGTTACACACACATTTAGACCAAAACCCACCACCCAAATGAAACATGACAGTAACCAAATTCCATCCAAGGTCGCGGAGACACCTGCCACATAACAATTTATCCGATGGAGCTCCAACCAGGCAGTAATATCCAATAGCAGACATATACCTTTGTATTGCAATTATTTGACGCTAATCTGTAGAGGTGATACCCAAACGGCTGCAAGTAGAACAAGGGCATCGTGTACACCAAGCAAAGTTCTGCAAGTGAGACTATGATTTGCTCTTGCTCACTAGCGTGGGAGCAATTGAGACAACTCCAATGAAGAACAAGGTGGCTATCGAGTTGAAGTCATAGAGATCCCCAAGGGATTGCAACTCTCCAAGAGCTAATCCAGCCTGCAGCACAAAAACGTAGTCAATTACATAGGCACAAACAGTGACAATCGAGTAGAGCATTACGAAGACAAGACAACTCAAACAAATTGCTAATATACTTGTCCCTTATAGATTAAGGTCAACTATATCTCACCACCTTAACATGCTGGTAGCAGGAGTTTGAGCTTGACCCGTGCAGTAATTGACCCAAAATAAAAACCAATCTCCAGAATGATTCTTTTGTCTTCAGATATTAGAGAACTAACATTTTAAAGACAACTACATATTTTTTTGCATTAGTCAAAATGTGGATAGTGATGGTGTCGAGCTGAAGGTATATTTATCTTCCTCCATGACAAAAAGGGGAAAACAATATCAAATAAAATAAAATAGATAACTGATTGTTAACTGGATCATTCGGCAATAGAAATCTTCAAGATCTGCACAGGGTTCTTATAATATTCTGATGTTCTTAGAAACAACTAAACTTAATATTTATACAGATTTGGTGCAGGATACATACCCTGACAGTGACGTAAGCAGCCGGTATCAGACCAATTGAAGTTGCCAGGAAGAATATATGGTAAGGCACATCAACTATTGGTGAAGCAACATTAATAAATGTATTTGGCAAGGTTGGAGTCAACCGTAGAAACAACATATAGTTCAATAGTCCCTCTCTTCTTTTAGCTACCTGTTAGAAAAACAATAAAATGATTCACTCATATTTTGAAGGTTAGGTATCAATGAGAGATATGAAGACATCTGAATGTACCTGGTTTTGGAAAAATTGCAGCTTGTCGGGCCAAAGAGAGAAGACAAGGGGTCTCCCGACCAGCTTTGACAAGAAAAAACAAGAAGATGCACCAGCAGTAGCATTAAACACCACCAAAGCTACACCTTTGAAGACTCCAAAAAGGGAACCGGCAAGCAAGGACATAAATACAGTACCAGGGATCATGAAAGTCTGCATGAATATATAAACCATGCAGTATCCTAACAGAACCTGAGCAGTGTAGTCACTTGTGTAGTCCTCGAGGTGAATTCTAACAAGAAGAAGATAACAAGAAAACAAAATAAATAAAACTGGATAATACCATCAAATTCATATTCTACAATGTAACTGTAAACAGAGCACATGTAGATGGAACAAAACACAATACATTAGTCATAATACTAGCGGAGTACATAACTACACGCAACCAAGTTCATAGTTTTTTCCGACAATACAATTTAAAACTATGCATCACAAAATTTTCGAGTCACAAAGTCATCAACACTTAACGGTCACAATAATGCAATATTCCATATCCAGCATTAATCTCTCCTCCTATTACATATTAAGGTCAGACTAATGCAGTACTCCGTATCCAGCATAGCATTCGTGTCATAACCAACGCAAAATTACTATAATAACTAATGCCCGAATCTAAACTCGCTTAGGCCAAAACCTGGTGCATTAACAATATCACCTATAACGTTTAAGAAAAACAAAGGCCAATGCAGATAATTAGAAGGCAAGCATTCTATCCATTAATGAAAATAAAATGCCTCAGGCATCTAGCAAGAAGATGGATCCAAGCAAAAATCAGGCCTCTTCCAAATAAATTTATGGGTTTCCTAATTAGTTTGCTATTAATTGGATTGAAAGCTAAAAATCCATAATTTACAAAAAAATTCAGAGGGAAAAAATAAATAGTCCCAGATTGGTATCATATACATACGAAAACCAAAAATTTTCCCATCAAAATTTGTGGATTTTCCTGGAAAATTCAATCCTAAAAAGGCAATTCAGATTCATGGGAAATGCATAAGAAATTTGAAAAAAAAAAAAAAAAAAAAAAAGAACAGAAAAAATAAGAGTACCTGAGGATTTGAAGATCTTGGAGGCTACGGGGGAGCTTGAGGAAGCTGTAATCCGATGCGGGCATGGTCAGGTAAACAGCCAGAAGGCCAAACAAGAAGCCCAATACGACGGTGGAAGCCAGGGTCACCTCCCAAAAGCTCAACGGGAACTTACTATTATCGGATCCCACTTCTGCACCAACCACCTTCACATCGCCGCCACTGTCGTCTCCTTTCCCCATCTCTCTCTAAGTTTTCCTCTCCTTTTTCTCTTTCTGCAATTTTCTAGGGAAAAGTTAGAGAGAATGAAAATTAAGGAGCACCTTTTCTCTTCTTTCTCTCTCCCCTCTGCTATTTTATTATGGTTTTGGGGAGAGAGGAGATGAGGAGGAAGAGAGAAAGAAGGGATATTCGCTGGTGTCCAAATAATACGAGTTATATGCAAATTGAAAAACGATGTTAAAACAATTAGGATAATAATATTTTGCATCTCCGAGTAAGAATATACGTACCTCATTTCTTCTAAATAATAATATTTATTATATAAATTTTATAATAAAAACGTTTAATTTCTTAATTTTTATCTAAAAATCACCACTATTAACAGAAAAAAAAAAGTTACTAAATAATTTCTTTAGAATCAAATAATTTCTTTAGAATCATATCAATTTTTATGACTTAATTACTCCATAATCAGATTGAGTTGACATGAATTAACGATTAATTGAATTAAGAAAGAATTGGAATGAGGTGCTATCAGGATCAAATTCTTGTTGAAATTGTTTACTAAAATTGTCTCGAATCAGAGTATGAATGCTATTGATCCATATAAAATGTATACTAGCTCACATGAACCGAAATAAAAACTAGTGTGATTATTAAAATGCCCCTATTCTAAGTAAGTTGTGGTCTATTTTATCTGACACAAAGAAAGGGCGGCGGCAGATGGAGAGATTGTAGAGAGAAATGTGTTTGTAGGAATGTAGGGGGTATGTTATCACTTCTACGTATTGCCCTTATTTATAGTAATAAGGGAGAGAAGAAATCCTTCATACCCAAGGAATAAAAGTCATAATAGGAAATGATAACTAGAATCAAATCTAATCTAGGATTTACACAATCACATTTTAATAGGAAGTTTATAACAGTCCCCCTTGAGTGTGTAAATACTCAAGGTAGATTTAACATCATGTAGAAGTTAAGGAAGTCGACTCGTCGGCATTGATTATGGGAACAACGTTATTCTTAATAAGGTAGGAACTTTCATAATATAGAAACTAGAAACTTCCTCTGTAAGCTTTCAATTGTATTTCTGAATAATTGATTTGTACACTGTGAAGACATATATATATATAGCCTTTGGCTATTTACAAAGATACCCCTTAACTGCCTAACCTTATAACAGTTCTAACTAATCACAAATATTAGCACAACTAATTACATTTAGAGATAACAAACTATTTAACAGTAACTGAAATGGGTGACTTGTCATTTTCCCTAATACACCCCCTCAAGCTAGCAGGGGAATCAGAACAGATTCCAATTGGAAGCTTGGAGCATAGGAATTGAAATCGACTTTTGGATAGAGACTTAGTGTGAAGATCAGCTAATTGGTCTTCACTGCAAACATACTGTACTTTGAGAAGATTAGCTAGAACCAATTCTCGAATATAGTGGTAATCGATCTCAACATGCTTTGTACGAGCATGAAAGACAGGATTAGATGCTAGGGAGATTGTTTAGATGTTGTCACACCAAAGTGTAGGCAGTGTAGGGATAGGGAAGTGAAGATCTCTGAGGATTTTGTAAACCCAAGTAAGTTCTGCAGCTGTATGAGCTAATGAGCGATATTCAGCTTCTGTAGAAGACCATGCAACAGTACTTTGTTTCTTAGCACTCCGGCCAATGAGATTGGAGCCTAAGAACACACAATAGCCACTTGTAGATCTTCTATCAAAAGTGCAGCCAGCCCAGTCAACATCAGAGTATGCTGAAAGATGGATTGGACACTTTGTGAACCACAAACCGTGGGAAAGAGAACCTTTAAGAAATCGAAGAACTCGTTTAGTTGCCTAAAGATGTTGTTCCCTGGGAGCATGCATGAATTGGAAGATCTGGTTGACAACAAAAGCAAGATCTAGTCTAGTCCAAGTTAGGTATTGTAACCCTCCAACAATAGAACGATATTCAGTGGGGTTGGACAAGAGAGGTTCACTGTTATCTAATTTCTTGGAACTCAGTGGTGTGCAGCATGGTTTGGCACCCTCCATGTTTGTTTTCTTAAGAAGATCAAGTAAGTACTTGGATTGATGAACAAAAATTCCTTGTGAGGATCTGTGTACTTCTAAGCCTAAGAAATAGTGTAAAGGACCAAGATCCTTTACTGGAAACTAAGAACTGAGTTGTGTGATAAACTGTTGACAGAGTTGAGAGTTAGGACTGGTTACTAGAATGTCATCAACATACACAAGAACAATAACTAAATGAGGACCATTAAGAACAAACAAGGAGGCATCAGATGAAGATTGTTGGAACCCAAGAGAATGAAGAGCTTGAAATAGTTTATCAAACCAAGCTCGAGGAGCTTGTTTTAGTCCATATAGGGATTTCTTCAACTTGTAAACAGAATTTGGAGAATTTGGATCAACAAACTCGGGAGGTTGTTGCATGTAGACATCCTCCTTTAAGTCACCATGAAGAAAGACATTGTTTATATCCAATTGATTGAGAAACCAATTATATTGGATAACAAGAGTGAGTAAGATCCGAATTGTAACTGGCTTGGCAACTGGACTAAAGGACTCTTGGAAGTCAATAACTTCTTGTTGATGAAAGCCCTTTGCCACTAGACGGGCTTTGTATGTATCAATAGTGCCATCGGCCTTTTTCTTAACTCGAAACACCCATTTACATCCAACTACATTTTGGGAAGGATGAGAGGGGACAATTGACCAAGTACCAGTAGAGATCAATGCATTATACTCATCTTGCATTGCAGCTCGCCAGTGAGCATGCTTAGAAGCTTGTAGGTATTTACTGAGGACATAATCAATGTCAACAAGAAGAAGATGCTTAGTTGCTGCATAAGCTTGAGGTTTAGATTTATAAATGCCAGCCTTGGATCTTGTGATCATTGGATGATAATTAATAGGAATAGGAGGATGATTGGACTGACTTAAGGGTAAGGTGGAGGATTCTGAAACAAATTCAGAACTGGAAGTAGCAGGGACTGAAATGGGTTGAGAAGAAGAAGGATGTGGAAAATCGAAGGCAGAAGCAGAAGCATTTGGAATGGATGTTGCACTGCTAGTGGAGAGATGGGGAATATATTTATCAAAATAAAGATTCAGAGATGAAGAGCTTGCTGATGATGATGTATTGGGACAGAAACAGGGAGGCTGCAGTAACTGAAATGGATAAGTACTTTCATCAAAGACAACATGTCTGGAGATGTAAATTCTATTTGTAAGTGGATCAAGACACCTATAGCCTTTGTGTTGAAGACTCTATCCGAGAAATGTGCAACTTTTGCTCTTGGCATCCAATTTGCTTTGAACATAGGGTTGGAGCCAAAGGAAGCATTGGCAACCAAACACTTTGAGTTTAGAGTAATATGGGGGTTGCTTGAATAATAATTCCCATGGTGATGTGGAAATACCAGAGATGGGAAGCCAATTAATGAGATAAATGGCAGTGGAGAAAGCTTCAACCCAAAATATATGAGGAACATAAGAAGCAATTAGCAAAGTACGAGCTGTCTCAACAAGATGCCCATGTTTTTTTCTCAGCACAACTATTCTGTTCAGGAGTATGTGGACAGCTAAATTGGTGAAAAATGCCATGTTTACTGAGAAATGAAGCAAAAGAGGTACTGGTAAATTCACCCCCTGAATCTGAATGCAGAACTTTGATTTTATTTCCAAGTAAATTTTCTACATAAGATTTGAAGACAACAAATGTAGAAAATACATCTGACTTTGACTTCAAAGGAAAGAACCAGCTATATTTGCTAAAGTCATCAACAATAAGCAAATAGTACTTGAAACCACTGTTAGAGATAACAGATGCTGGACCCTACAGATCACAGTGCATAAGTTGAAGACTGTGACTTGTTGTTGAAGAAGAAACTCCAAAAAGAAGCTTATGATTCTTGGCAAGTGCACAATTTGAGCAGAAGAAATCAATAATGGACTCGCCTTGTAATGCCAGTTTATTAGTAGAAATTACCCGTCTGAAAATAGAGGAGGATGGATGACCCAAGCGTCGGTGCTAAACTTTGACAGAAGCTTTGACACTGAGCAGAGCTAAAGGAGATGAAAGTGAAGAATTGCTAGAACCTTGAAGAGAGTAAAATCCATCTCTAACGGGTCCCCGCAAAAGCATCTTCCCCGAAATACGATCCTTGACAGTGGATCCATAAGGGTTAAAAGTCAATGAACAATTATTATCCTTTAGAAACTAATAAGCAGACAAGAGATTATGTTTCATGTAGGGAACATGTAAAACATTCTGTAGCTTAAAAGAAGTATGAGGAGTATGCAAGGCTGATGAACCAATATAATGAACAGAAAGACCTTTACCATCACCAATATACACTTTATCTTCACCAGTATAGGGAGTGGGAGAAGAGATGTTTGCAACATCATTAGTAACGTGAGAAGTGGCACCCGAGTCAATCAACCAAGACTGAGATGGTTTGGCAGATTGATTAACATACATAACAGCTAGTTTAACTGAAGGAATTCGACCACAGATGTCAGGATTCATGCGATCAAAACAGTCAAGAGCCTCATGACTGGTAGATCCACATATTTGACAGGGAACTTTGAAATTGGAAGAGCTTTGAGCATGACGAGGTCCTTGATAGTTACGATTTCCACGAATGTTGGAGTAATTACCACGGTTGATTTGGAAACTACGATTGCCTCTGTGAGAGAAGGAATGGCCTCTGTTATTCTTTCCACGATTGGCAGATTTTGGTTGGTACCAAGATGGAAGTTGGTACTGAGCAGCAAACACAGAAGGAGTGGGTAGTAGAGGGGGTTGAGAGTGCACCGAGAAGGCTTGAAAAGGTTCAGCTGCAGAGGATGAACTGATAGTTTTGCGTCGAGCCATGGACAATTCTTTAGTGAGAAGAAGACATAGAGTTCATCAAGAGATGTAGAGGACAATCGAAGCATGATTGAGTCAATGAAGGACTTAATATCATCAGGCAAGCCATGAAGTATGGCTGCAATTAAGTCGCGATCAGAGACGAAGGCACCATCAGCTTGCAAGGAGTTTGAGATTTCCTTAATTTCTTGAAGATACTCAGAGATGGAGCGAGATCCTTTTTGAACAGATTGGAGACGCGACCTCAATTGATGAATATGAGCCTCTGAAATTCCACCAAACCTCTGTTCAAGCTTCAACCAGAGTTCGTGAGACG